TCGCAGGAAATTTTTTTGACGAATGTGTTTAATCAAAGAACAATGAAATAAACATTCATTGATTGAAGATGAGTGAATGTGACTTAAGGAGACTGCATCTCATTAATTTATGTTACCATTTACCAAGAAGTAAGATTTTTAAGATATAGGTACATATTAGATATATAACTCGATATATATTAAGTTCTTTACTAGACTCCACTAGTTCCTAGACTTTCTTAAGTTCTTTATGTACACCAAGTTTGTGAAGCTTTGAATAGGAAGTCAATTCAAACAAATTTGACCAGCATGATTACCAGATCTTAATACACTAAATTTATATTTATAGGGCTACTTAATAAATTTAGTTTTCTCAGTGTAGATTCACACTGAAGGGCAAATAAAACAAAGTACTACTTATTATTAAATGATTCAATAAAATGCCTGCCTTAATACCAGAAGTATCATATATGCAATACTTTTGAAAGTTGTAATAGTAAGTTTTAAAAGTTGTAATAGTACAGAAGAAAATTCTTTTTTTATGTTGTACCTGTACTTACTTAAGGTTATAACTCATCATACAGTCTCAGGGCTTTGACAAAAGCCAGTATCTGAGACGGCTCCACAGAGGCCAACTCTCCATCTTCGACACCAGCCGTACCAAAGTTTATGGCACAAACGGCTGTCGTCTCGGCGCACTCAGTGATGAGGTGTTTTGGTGTTTCCCCATTTTCCCCACAGAATCTGCATTCACAGTTATTGTTCAGCTTCAATCTACTGAGGTGTTCGTTGAGGAGACAGTGTCCTGTTAGAAAGCCCGTGACAATCCGAAGACTGTTCTTACTTAAATCAAGGAAAATCTTAGATCTTTCTCGGTCGTAAGTTCTGAGAAACTTTTTCGAGTGATCGTTGGAGAATTCCCATTCCAGGTTACGGATGGAGTCCTCCAGGTTCTTCAGTGCCACTTTAAGCTGGTTTCCGCTTGAAAAGCAAAACGGTTCTGGTCCAGTTAGTGAAGTGTTCGCTCCTTTTCATGCTAGATCATTTACTTTTTCATTAAATACAAAAGAAAAAGCAAAAAGCCTCAAAGTCTCGGTTTCCTTTGTCTTTTATATTTATAAACCAGGTCTCTTTGGGATTAATGGACGCCTTTTTAAATATACTTTTTCATTGCCTACTAACCCTTTGGGAGCGGGCACCCAGAGTAGGGGGACTTTATTTTCTTTGCCTAATTTGTTAAGTTTCTCTAGGCATTCTTTGACCAACTTCGAATTGATCGGCACTTAGTTGATCGCTTTTAATGCTGCTTGACTATCGGATAAAATGGCTATTTCTTTTTTCCGATGGTTCCTATCTAAGATAAATTGTACGCATCTTTCGATAGCGTAGATTTCTGCTTTCAGCCTAAAGAATGCTGGGGTAGGTGCCCGTTGGATCGGAATATTTAGTTTTCAGTCCATATTAAAAGTTACACTGTATAGTGTATACTTACTTACTTACTGCCATTACTAGCTGACGAGTATTTGACACGCATCAGAAGATGGTTACGCAAGGCGTTTTCTTTCATGAGCTTTTCTGTGACTGAAAAGCCCGATACGTAATGTTATCTCTCTTCCGCACTCCGGACATTCAAAAATCTCATTACTTTGTTGCCTCTTTGCTTTTTGGTTGTCGTTGTTAACCAGGGCCGGCGGAAGGAAAATATTGAGCCCGGGCTTGTACCATATCCGGCGCCCCTCCCCCCTATTAGTTATCCCTTTTTCCTTCAATACTATACTTTAACTACAACTAAGCATATTTATGCTACTTTAACAATAAATTTTTACTTAAAGATACTTCAAAATTATTCTTCTCTTGGTTCAATCTTAGTCTACGGTTGTTGTTTTTTCTACACCGGGTGCGTCTCAAAAATGACTCATCCCTATAACTTTTTTATTTTTTTAGATAAAAAATCGAGATTTGGTATGTTTTTCGTGTCATGTCCAGGCCGGTTAAAACATGCCCAAATCGTATTTTTAATCATATCTTAATTTTTTCAAATGGAACAAGGGTGGCTCATTTGTAAATTTGGAAAAAGCATTTTTTACGAATAATTTGAAACCACACACATGGTATTTCGAGTCAAATTGTTACACATTGTTATCCGTTATGAACCGCATGTTAAAATTTCAAATTAATCATATGCGAAAGTGTCAAAAGTTGACATATGATTTGTTATTCTATTCAAAGTGTCATTTTCTATCGCATAAAGTAGAAATATACCAAGGGTGCTATTTAAAAATAAAAAGTTGTAGTAATTTCCGGTGAAACAGGAAGTAACCAAAAACAATTGAATACGTCAATTAATCCTAATTTATGTCGTATACTAACATACCAAATCTCGTTTTTTCATCTGAAAAAAGTTATAGGGTGAGCCACTTTTGAGAGGCACCCGGTATATAGAGCTATAAGAAATAGAATTCCAACTTCGGCAGTCTCGTTCTGGTATAAGTGATCTTTGAAAACATTAGTATTTAGTTACAAGCAGTTGCATTATTTTTCTATATGAATTTAAGAAAATGTTCGTTTCTTTTTCACAATCAATTATTTCGTGCAGAAATACACAATTATTTCGTGCATCAGTATATGATTAGACAGTTTTGTCGGCTGAGGAAAATGAGGATCAGCCAGTGTTTAAGACGCATTTCTTTGTGAGAAATTTTTCTTTCTGTAATTTCTCTAATGAGAAAATTCTACGATCCTGGTACCATTTTCCGTGTATTACTACATATTCAATCCAGAACAATCAAAACCACCAAAAAATTGATATCTTTTCCCACTACTGTTAATAAATATATTTAATTAATGAGGCAAACTTATAAGCTTTTTTGATAATAAGGATATCGGGATAATCTTCAGCTTCTTGCGAATGAATATCATTCATATAATTTTAGGGCATCAGCCATTAATAACAAATAAAGGTTGTGTGTAGTAGAAAAGTGATTATGCGACTTTGAGCGGTCAGTCTAAAACTGTCAATTTTGCTGTCCCTTGACCCAAAAACAGTTAGAAATTTATAAAAACGAGAATTATAGGTAGAAAGAAGGGTTATTTACAAAAAGTTGTTAGTTTTTGAGTTATAAGTAAAATACCACGAACAAATCAAATTTATATTTTTTATATTATTTTGTTTAAGATTCTTCCACAAATATGAATTCGCAAATCCCAGTTTCGAATAGAGCATCCAAAAAACATATAGAAAAGAAGAAATCAAAACTATCCCAAAGCTTTCGTGCTAAGGATTTTTTTGAGCATAATTTCAGTAAACTATAATAGGATACGTCTAGGATATAATAGTGTTTATAATGTTTAGTCAGATATTTCTTCCCTATGTGGGTATGGTAATTGCTAATATTTTAATGTGGAAATTGATAGTATCGATTAATTATTGATCTGGTTTTTCATTACTATTTGTTTATATTACTGTTTTTAAATATTTTAATTGCCGTCGTGGCGCCCCTCGCAAGCGGAGCCCCGGGCGGCCGCCCGGTTCGCCCTTAACAACAGGCCCCCTGTTAACAACAGGGCCCTTCCGCCGGCCCTGTTGTTAACTGAGTTTACAATTCTTCTCCATTGCGTTCTATTGTGCGCTGCTTCCTCCCACTGATTCTGCATGCTTACCCTTTAAGTTTTCATGGAAAATATCCTAGTATGTTTTGAGTTGTCCACCCGGTCTCCTCTTACCCTCTACAAGCTCACCGTAAAGAAGAGAAATCTCTTCCGAAATAGTAGGCGCCTACCGAAATGGTAGGCGCTTTTCTTTTCTTTTTCTTAGGCGCTTGTCTTGCATCCTGCATACGTGGCCAGCCCATCTTAAGCAGGATTTGGTAATCATGACTTCAACGCTCTCGCAAGCTGGTATTTTCAAGGACTGATACGTTTGAGACATGGTGGTACCATTTGATTCTTAACAGTTGTCTAAGGTGTCTGTGTTGCAACTTGTTTAATGCGTTCGTGTACCGGCGGTACTGCACCCCGAAACCTGGGTTCACTTCCATATAACATGGTGGGAATTATTATTCCTATGGGTACACGGGAGTGGGGGCGGGGGGGTGTGCTCAAATCATGATTGTAGAAAACCCTGTTTTTTAAGTTCCAGTATGCTCTTGAGGCGCTGCTAATTCTGTGCTGAATTTCAGTGTCGATATTGGCCTTTTCCGAAATCAAGCTGCCGAGGTAATTGAATTCCGCTACATATTCCAGTAGTTCTCCGATTTTTATAGCAATGTTATGATTTTCCCGGGGAGTGCACATGATTTTAGTTTTATCGATATCCAGCTTAAGGACCAAAGCCTCGTATGCCCAGGTATATCTGTTCAGCAGCATTTCTTGTAATTGCTGTAACGTTTTTGCAACTAGAGCGCAGTCATCAGCGTATTGAAGTTCTGTGATGAATTTTATACGTATTTTTGCCCTAAGTCTTTTTATGTTGAATCTGTACCTTGTTGTTTTATGTACCCTGTATAAACTCTTAAATAGAGATGAATTTGGCCAATTCATACATAGAATAGCAAAAAATATACGACCTTTACATAAAGGTCGTTTAATTTGCTACCGGCTAGAAGTCCGAATCATAATTGGTATATCTAGGTCAGAGCAGATCAAGATTTTACTTTGTTTTTAGTAGATTAAAACACCATAATGAGTGGGAGCTGCGAACGACGAATGATTTCTTTTCTTCTACCGTATGTACACACTATACACGATATGTAAATGATTAATTAGAGATGCGCAACCTGCGCAAATATTTTCAACAGGCCTACCTACTAAATTGGTCGATATTAAAATATTCTCTTAACTTAGGAATCTTACATTTCAACAATGAACTGTAGGTATCTCTCGCCTCGACTCACCCATGGAATGGTACCGCGCCTCCCCACCACTAAAATCAGAGCACTCTGCGACCCGAAAGACCTTGGTCGGCACCTATCGCACCTCGTGCACCTGCCACCTTTGATAAGTCGCTCAGTGCGATCGCGGTAGGCCGGGGCAGAGTAGTCAGCGATCGGTTCAAATTGGCGAAAAGAAACGGGTGCGCGCTACCGAGTGGTTCTTGTTTGTTTTGATCTTAAGGGTGGCGCCAGTTGCCATTAGGAACCCTTATCTTATTTTTATTAAAGCATAATATACTGTCATTTAATAGATGTCACCTGATGATTTAATAGGTATATTATGAAGACAATTCAGTGAAAGTCATACTTTTAGGTAATGCATATAACATCAAGATTTTTTTGATATCGATAAATGTAATTAAGGGTCTTTTAGGCTCAAGTTTCGTTTCAGCTATGTAAGAAATATTTGTTTATTTTGGAAGCTTTTTTGAATAGTATGTGACAATTTTTTTTCTGCGGAAATGCATCATTTTTTCTCAACTTTAAAATTGCTGAAATCAGGGCTGAAATCAAGTTTATCTTAAATCAGTTATATAAGAAATATTTGTTTATTTAGTACTTGGACGCCTTTCCATATAGCCACGAATTTTTTTTGCGAAAATGCATCATTTTCAGTTTTTCATCTTTAGAATAGCTAAAACCAGTTACATGAAAACACGTTTCTGTTTTTCATTCTAAAAATTTTTCTAAACATAGACACGCAAAAGAACTTCTTGCGGAAGTAGTACCATTTTCATTTATTGATAAAATATTGTAAAATATAGCAAGATTTGAAAAGTACTCGGCAATTGGAATTCGTAAGCAGACGCGTTTTAGCTTACAGCGTGTTTTGATTGCTTTGGTTAGGTTTGTTTTTGTTTGGTATGGTTTGTTGGCTCATTTTTGTCAATTTTCATTTTTTCTTGGTACGTAATTGATGTCTAAATTACAGTATCTACTAGGTTAAGCTCATAACTACACAAGCAAAGTGTTTAAAATGTAAAGGGAACACGTTTTCATGTAACTAATTTCAGTTATTCTAAAGTTGGAAAAAAGAGAATGAAGCATTTCCGTAGAGAAATTTTTATGATTTTGTGTTTCTTTTGGGGAGGCTTCTATATACTGGATGTTTTGTTGTTTCTTTTATAAGTGATTTCAAGTAAAAAAAAACTTCACCCGTCTTTTATTTTTCATTCTGTATTTTTTAATATTCATCTACAAAAACCTTCTATTTACAATGAATGTTTTCATATATTGTTAAATAGCTTAAAGTGTCAAATACTGTATCAAAGTTTACAGTATTATTCTGTAATCTTTGACTGTATTAATTAATTCATAAATTAAGATTTTTTTACAATAACAATAAATTAACTGATCTGTAAATATTCAGTATCGATGTACTTGGGTGTTAATCTATTACTTTTTGCTCAACACTAACCATCAGTCATTAATGTTTCATAATGGAATGTATTTTGGAAAAAGTACTAAAATTTCTGTTAATATTTTTGTAGTTGTGTAGTTCTAATTTCTGGTCTATCGAGATTCCTAGAGCAGCTAAAATGGTCTGTTCTAAAGCTTATTTGACACTGGAAAAAGTATTAGTTATAAAGTCACCACCTAGCAAAGAACTTGACTATATTATAATTTGATACAGTAATAAAAATAATAGACTTAGAAAATTTCTTATTTAGAGGCTTTAAAATCGTCAAAAAATTTGATATATCAATAAATTAATATTAAGAAATTAAGTGCACTAATAATAATTAGTATACTTAAATTATAGTTGGGGGTTGGAACATTTCGGGTTACTTTTTAACAGCAAATCTTTTTTTTAATTTACTTTTAACAGCAAAATAAAACACTAATTCACCACAATACACCAAAACACTTTAATTTTAAATACTGAACGCGCGTTTTGCTGACGTTAGCTTCATCAGCAGATGATTAAAACTAAAACAGTCTTAATCGTCTGCTGATGATACTGACATAGTTAGCGAAACGCGCGTCCCGTGTTTAAAACTAAAGTGTTTTATGGTGAATTAGTGTTTTATTTTCCAGTGTACTGAAGTGCCAGATTCGATATTATTAGTCTCTAAATTTTCATAAATAGGGAATTAAAGGATTTAAATGTTTGATCCTTATCAACTGGTGACGTCTTAACGTTTTCTTATGATCATTATATTAAAGAAACTCTCATTTTTCATTTACAACATATCAGATTGAAACTCTTATTAATTAAAGATATAATTGGTGTTTATAATGCATGTACAGTGTTTTCAGAGATATTTAGTGAGATACTTGCAGGTTAAGCTATTGGAGGTAGTAAAAAAAAATTTAGTGTAGGGAGTTATATGGTTTTACGTGAACCACCAGAAAGTGAAATGAAAATAATCAAAATATGGTTTAAGTTTTTTGAAAGATCTTTTTCTTCTAGTTTCAAATATACAGCGTTTGTCTATATTTGCGTGAACAGTTTTTGCATTATATTGGTTTAATCAATGCAATCGCTACTACATAAGAGATTCATAAAGGGCATTATTTATAATTATCGTCTCTATAATAGAGTTCAGAACCGGGAAGTCCCAGACTCGAAAGTACCGGGAATTCCCGGTTCTTTTTTATCCCATAGAACCGGGACTCGAAATTAATTCCCGGTTCTTTCGGAACTCGGTAACAATAATTATAAAATCATTTTTTATTACGTGTAAAAATCCTCTTAGGCTTTCTAGCGGACGAAATCAAACTTTTCTAAATAAGTAGTGAGGGTATTTCTTATTGTTCTTACTTTTTTTCTCTTTTGAAGTTCCTATAATTTGTTTTGGTGTATTAGTTATATTTTATTTTAGTGATGTTTCAAATTTACGTTAGTTGGTTTGTGTCGTTTGGTGTGAATTTTAAATTACCTATGTTTTTTTCTTCGCTTGTGTTCATTTCTGTTCATATTAATTTTCTCATAAATGGTTACTTAATAATTTGATATAATTTTTATTAAAAACTCAATTTTTTATCAATTTTACTTTAAAAAACATCCCTTGCATTTTTTATCGAGTTTGCTTTGGGAAGCCATCGCTTGCTTTCTGATTGACGAACTGCACCATCATTGAACAAAAATCAACTGTACCGAAAGTAGGTACGTAAAGAACGAAACCGAAATTCCTGGTTCCGAAACAACACTGGTTCCGGAAACTCTGTTCTATATCTTTCCTATGCATTTTATGTAATAACGGTTCCATGTAGGGTTCAGAATCCCGGTACCGAAAGTACCAGGGACTCCCGGTTCTTTTGAGACATCAAAGAACCGGGACTCGAAATTATTAATTCCCGGTTCTTCCGGTACTTTCGGGACTCGGTAATAATAATTAAAAACATATTTTTTGTTACGTGCGAAAAACTTTTGATACTCTCTAGCGGTCGAAATCAAACTCTTCTAAATAAGTAGTGATTGGTTAGTTATCTCTTACTGTTCTTATTTGAAGTTATTTTGAAGTTTCTATAATGTTTATTAGCAATTATTGAAGTTTAACTATATTATTTTATTATTTACTATAATATTGCTGAATGTATTGTTATGTTTTTTTGTGTTATGTTTTTATAGACATTTGCATATTTAATTGAAAATGTTAAGTTTTTTCCAAATTTAGTTAAATTGGTTTCGAGGTTGGTTGATGTTTGATGTAATTTTTAAGCTATCTATGTCTTTTTTTTTTCGCTTGTGTTCAATATTTGTGTTCATATTTACTCATGGCTTAAGCTTGTGTTCATATTTACTTTCTCATGACTTAATAATTTGATATTATTTTCATTTGAAACTCATTTTTTTATCGTTTTTACTTTTGAGAACCTTCTAGCGGTCGAAATCAAATACTTCCAAATAAGTAATGATACTATTTCTTATTGTTCTTGCTTCTTTTTTCTTTTGAAGTTCCTATAATATTTATTATGTTATGTTTTAATACATACTATTTGCATTTTTAATTTAATATTTTAGGACTTTGGTCTCAAATTCAGGTTGTAAGGTAATTCAGGTTGGTTTATGTTGTTTGATGTGAAATTCAAGTTACCTATATACTTTTTTGTTTACTTGTGTTCATGTTTGTGTTCATGTTAATTTTTTCATCACTGATTACTTAATAATTTGATATTATTTTCATTAAAAATCTCAATTTTTTATCAATTTTACTTTAAAAAACATCCCTTGCTTTCTGATTGATGAACTGCACCACCATTGAATAAAAATCAGTCAGTACCGAAAGTACCGAAAAAAAAACGGGAAATCGCGGTTCCTAAGAGGCGCGGTACCGAATTTCCAGGTTCCGAAAAACAGCTCCGGTTTCAGAAACCCTACTTCTATGGATTTAAACCAAAATAATTCAAATACAGTTCAAGCAAATAATATGTTTGAAATTCGAAAAAATAATCTTAAAAAAAAACTTTAATTATACAGCGGGTTCCATTAAAAATGTAACGTTGTGAATTTTTCTAAAACTATTTTTTGTTCATTTATATTTCATTTTCTGGCGGTTCAGGTAAAACCATACAACTCCTACATTGAAAGCGTTTCACTACCTTCAATAGGTAAGCTGCAGGTATCGTACGAAATATCTCTAAAAACCATGTACAGGGTGACAATATGAAAAGTAGCGATCGGAAATATATCTTAGATAAAAAAATAATACCAGGATAGAGAAGATCTCAAATACATAGCGAAAGATTGAAGAGGTATACATTGATTTCTGCGATATGTATTTGAAACCTTTATAAAACAGTTTTCATAGATGTCTTTTAAACACAAATATTTCTTAAACTAATATTAAACTGATGTTCAATTTAAAATTTTGCTATAAGATGATGTCGTGTCCACATCTACTTTATAATTGTTTTTTGTCTAAGATATATTCCCTATTGTAGGTATATTTTTTTAAATAAAAAAAATACTGTTAAATAGACATAATAATAATCTTTAAACTTTTTTTGTACTATAAACCATAGAAAGAAATCCAGTAGAAAATATTAAAGCATCAAACTAATAATTTGTAAGTAATATATTAATGCCTGGATATTATTTTTAATGTTTGAACATTAATAAATACATTTAAGTAATGACATTATTCTATTCAGGTATTTTCATCTAAACTCTAGTGGTTCCTCATAAACTCATAATACTTAAATACTGACAGTGTTTTTATTTGACGTTAATGTGTTAAAGTGTACGAGGATTTTGACATTAAGTTAACTTACATGTTGATATAGTGCAAAAATAATATTTTTATGAGTGATGTTTTTGACTCTTGTTTAAAGTTATGGATACCGAAAGTCCCGTCGTTTGGCCAGCGTGGTGTTATACAGGTGAGAATATAAAATAATGTTAATGTAGTTAGTTAAAATAATACAGGGTCTTTCAAAAAACATGTGCCATCTCTCGTGGGGAGATTCTGCTTTGTTTCGTAGCTACAGGCTGTCAAAGTCGTAAGAATCTCTCGATTTATTATAATTTTCTTCCAATAACTTTCAGTGATTCGAATGAAATTTTGAGTGTAAAAGTTACCATACGTACTACCTACATATTTTAATGCTAAAAAAGTATCGATAAATTATATAATAAAAGCAGGGACGTGCATTTGGGTTATCACTGGAATATTTTTCAAAAAAAGTAAACATGTGCGCCACTGAGTTTTTTCTTTTCATATTAAAATTGTATAGGCCGTTTAATGCCAATTAAAAGTTATCTCTTGGTATTTTGTCGAATTCGGCCTCCTTGATGAGATAAACGCAATTTTTCACTATCACACACGTTTCACACACATCACAACTAATAAAATTAAAATAAAAATAAAATTAATAAATTATATATTTTTCCTAATTTATTATTAAATATTATTACTTTTAGTTATTATTACTATTAGTCCAACCTACAGCAATTTCAAATAAACAATAATGGTATTTAAGATAATAATTGCAAAAAAACTAATTTTAAAAAGATAAACATCCTGTAACTCTAAAACTATGCATTTTCATACCAATGTTTATAGGAACTTTTTTTCATATATTTTGATGAGGAATCAATGAGTACTTATTTAAAACTTTCGCAAGTTAATGATATTAAAATTTTTTAAAGGTTGCTATTAGACTTGGATCAAGGCAAATTAATAAAATTGCGTTTATCTCATCAAGAAGACCGAAATCGACAAAACATTGAATGACAACTTTTAATCGGCATTAAACTGCTTATACTATTTCGCTAATAAGAGAAAAAAAGTCAGTGGCGTACATGCTTTTTTTAGAAAAATATTCCAGTAATAGCCCATATGCACGTCCCTGGTGAATATGTCAACACTTTTTTAGCTTTAAAATATGTCGCATTGATAGTAACTTTTACACTCAAAATTTTATTCGAAACGCTAAAAGTAAGTACTTGGAAGAAAATTATAATATAAATCGAAAAAATATTAAGACTTTAACACCCTGTAGCTACGAAACAAAGCAGAACCGGACCTATGTTGATATATGAAAAATAAATTTTATTTTTACGTGAGGAATCTCCCCACGAGAGATGGCACATGTTTTTTTAAAACACCCTGTATACAGGTTGTCAAAAAATTGTGCGCCAAACTTCAGTTGTGTTCTACTATTAGTGATTCTACAGGTAAAAATAAAACACGAGGGGTAAACCGCTAGTGTATTTTGGTGTACAAGATGTTGGCATTATTTGGTATTAGTGGTAGGTATTAATCGTGGTATTAGTTGGCATTTTTGGCATTATTCGTGGTATTAGTGTACAGAAATTTGTCAGCGGTTTACCCCTCGATAAAATATAAAGTTCCTATGAATGAACCTAATATGCCCTAAAATGCTTCTTGAGGAAGTTACAGCCATTGATAGTATTTACAGCCATTACAGCCCTCAATTGAAACATCTTGTAATCTTTTAGATCATATCTGGTATTGAACTATATTCTACAATCTACACTGCATTCAAATTCCTATACTAATTACCTTACATCTCACGATTTCGCTAATATTGAAATCGACGCATCGTAAATTTTACGTAATAATAAATATCTTGAAAACGGTCACCGTCAAACTAAATGAAGAGCACCTTTCTTCCTTAAAAAGTTCTAGATTTTTATTTCCTTTTTTGAAAAAAAAAGTACTACCCTCTTTACCCTATCGTCATTTGATTTGCCAATAAAATGTGTGTAAGAATACAAAATTTCAAGAAAGTGTTCACCAATGTTCTTAAAAATAAACAAAATATATTATTTTTATTTACTCTTTTAAAGGTTGTAACTTCGTCGGAAAGCGTCTTGGGCATATAAAATGTTCATAGGAACTTTGTGTTTTTGACGTTCTGTATATTTAAAAAATCTGGTTACAGCCAATGTTAATGTTAAAATACAATTTGAAAGTCCTCAAATTCACAGACTTCCTTAATGTAGAAATTTATTTGAACAAAGCAACCAGTTTCTTATAATTTGATTAAAGGTTGAAAATCAATCCAAGGGGGAATACTACATTCACAGGATTAGCTACAGTGGGCCAATGTGGGGCAGTTGCCCTATTCTAGCAGCCTGGCTCATGCATAATTTCTGTAGTTTAAATTAATATTCAATTGAACCGAAATATTAATACTAAAACTAACATAATTTTTATGTCTATCAATATCCATGCGATAATATTAAATGGAATTGAGCACATTATTATTGACTTTAAAAAGAATAATAGACATATTTAAGATACCGTGAAAAAGTTGACATTGAAAGTTGAAAGAGTAAGGCTATACTATACAGGGTGAGTCTTAAATAAGTGCAAATAATTTCAGGGCTGGTAGATCTCGATTAAAGAAACATATGTTCTCTTAACCATTTTTCAAAGAAATCCAAAATAACCGAGTTATTTTACTTATATAAATATTTTTTGCTAAAATTTTGAGAACCACGGGATCTTTTCTGGATTTTCTTTCTTGTAAATTTACTCTACTACCTATGTTGCCCTATTATCAACAAATTATGTTTTTTAACTAAAAACTAAAAAAATTCCAAAATTTTCTTCAAAAAATTCCAAATTTCCAAAAATATCTCGCAAAAAACTCATAATCGTGTTTCTGGGGTCGAAATATACTACCCTTAAGAATATTTACGCTTATTTAAGACTCATCCTGTATAGTAAGGCAGTTAATAGGGGAGCTGTAATATAAAAGGAAACATACATACCTACTAGAGAAGCAACGAAGTAAAATGCAAGTGTTACGTTAAGTACATCGGCTGTACATTTCGAAAATTAAATATACTCCGAACAAATGGGAACCAGAAATCTACGCTATCGCAAAATGCTTACAATTTATATCAGATAGGAACTATCGGAAACAGGAAATAGCCATCTTATCCGATAGTCAAGCAGCATTAAAAGCGATCAACTCAGTAACTATCAATTCGAAGTTGTCGAAGAAAATAAAGTCTTCCTACACTGGGTGCCAGCTAACAAAAAGATAGAATGCAATAAGAACGCAAACGATCTAGCTAGAAAAGGAGCGAACATTTCACTAACTGGACCAGAGCCGTTCTGCTTTCCCAGTGGAAACCAACTTAAAAAAGAACTCAAGAACATGGAAGACTCCATTAACCTGGAATCGGAATTACGTAAGAAAAATATTCGGGTTGTCACTGGGTTTTTAACAGGACACTCTGTCCTCAACGAAAACCTCAGTAGCTTGAAGCTAAGAAACAACAGCGAATGTAGATTCTGTGGGGAAAATGGAGAAACACCAGAACACCTCATCACTGAGTGCGCCGAGACGACAACCATTCGTGCCATAAACTTTGGCGCGGCTGATCAAAAGATGAAGAGCTGGCCTCTGTGAAGCCGTCTCAGATACTGGCTTTTGTCAAAGCCCCGTGACTGCATGATGAGTTATAACGAGTTATAACTCATCAAGAAAGGGGAACACACAATATACGTGATTCTGGAGAAGAATTTTTAAAACTCATCTTCAAATTCTGCAGTATGGTATTTTAAAACGACAGCCAACAACGATAAAATCGATAATCAACATTTAAGTAATTTAGGAGTCCAACAGGCACATAAAACCGGCAACTATTCATTACTCAGGGCCGTACCGAAGGCTACTTTTTTTTGCGCGGGGGGGGGGGGGTAAAAAAAACAACTTTTTTTTTATAGAATAGATACCTATTTAGTATATTATATACAGGGTGACAATTTGAAAACGAACAGTATTTTATATTACCTCTACCGATAATAGTATGAAAATTTGACGATATACGTCAATTTACATATCAAGGGGGACAATTTTTGAGGCATTTGTTGTCGTGTTACTTTCAACCCTTTGACCCCCAGGGCACCTACCCCTAAAGTTTTAAATGGCAACCCCTATTTCTTTTATCATTTTTGTGTTCCTTATAAAATTCTCAAAAAAAATAATGCAGTTTATGTAGAATTCTATAAGAAACAGGTAAAAAAAAATGGTAAAAAAATAGGGGTTGCTATTTAAAATTTTAGGAGTAGGTGCCCTGGGGGTCAAGGGGTTGAAAGTAACACGACAACAAATGCCTCAAAAATTGTCCCCTTTGATATATAAATTGACGTTTCAAAATGTCACCGTTCGTTTTCAAATTGTCACCCTGTATAATATAAGTATGGCGAATATTTATTCCTATTATAAAAACAGGATTTAAAATTTTAAAAATGTAATCTACAAAATCTAAAAAATCAACCCTATGCAGTACTATGCACTCTCTCAAAAAATATAATAATTAAAAAATCATAATGAAATCCGAAATCATACTTAACCGAAAAATATAAACAATTAAACAGAAATAGGTATTTGTTCACATACTAACATTAGACAGACAGACAGATAACTGACATTAGACTAACATTAGACAAACAGACAATATCAAAATACCACTAGAACTAAAAAAGAAAATGATGTATTTGTACCTACACCGATCCCATAATAAAAAATAAAAATAGAATATAAGTCCTTACTCTTTGACAAGACTAGGTACTTTTTAGGTTTAGGTTCCAAGTAAGAATGATACTTGATTAAATTTACCTACTAATAATACTACTTAGTTTGAACCCCCAGTCTCCTATCTTTTAACTTAGTCCAAGACTCAATCACATCTGTCAATTCTATATTATCTGTCGCGCTCGCTTTTCAGGCATTAAGAAATTTAATCGATCATTAGCCATGGTGGTACGTAACATGTTTTTTACGAATTTTAATAATATTTTTTAAAGACGTTTGCACGTTTGCATGATAAGACCAATGTCAAATCAAACTTTTTTTTTAATGCAAACTAAATTAGGATTTTTGAATTGAAAGTTTTA